GAATGGGCAACAAATGATTTAGAATCTTTCTGGACCTATCAATTATTGGGTTGAAAGATGAATAGTTCAAATTTGTATTATATTTATATTTATTAATTATTAATAAACAATAAAAAACCGGTGGAACCGAATAAACCAGTTTTAGGTTTAAAAAAAATTGTAAAAAAAATTAAAATATGTAGTAGTACAGAGTCTTTTGTATTTTCCATTCATTTATTATTAGATAGTGGAATTTTAACAGACTTACATCAATGGCTACAAATGGTGGCAATTAACGATAAATTACGAAACAAAAAAACTAATGGTGAAAAAAGATTTTCCGTTAAAACAAGAAATTCCATTTAATAGGCACTTTATATATATATAGAAGATATAGTACCGTTTCCGCTTCTTTCTAGTTGAATTAACACTTGCTTATTTATTTTACAAATAAAGATTTCCCTTTTGTTTGTTTTATAGCGTGTGTACTTATAAGTAATCTTTTTAAGCTCAGTCAAACAATGCTCTAGCGTGTAAAATGTGCCTGAACAAAAACATGTGTGAGCATTTGCTGATCTAGGCACGATAAAACTATCAATTTCTTTAAGGGAATTTTGGACTACCGTACTCCATAGGATGCAAACAAGATTTTAAACTTATTTTTCTGCTTTAATTTGTCCGAGTACTTATTGCATGTCAAACATGCATAGAAACATTTCACAAATAGTGAATATTCAAATATTATCTGTTATTTTGTATTTTCTGTTTCGATACTACTTTAGCTACTATTAAAATATAAAATTATAGTGACAGAATGTTTGGTTGTGCTTAAATAATTAATAAGATGCAGAAGACATACCTTTAGAGGCAGCATCTCTTATGACATCCCTAATAACTTTGTATGAATTGACCAAAACAAGAACTGAATCAGCCAAAGAATATGCCCCCATACAATCCACTCAACATTATTTCAAAAAGAAATCTGATGGATCTATCGAGATCTACAACTAGGAAGAAATGCAACTCAGGTATTCTAGCCCAAAGAAAGACCAGCAAATTAGGGTAAAACAAATACAGAGACTGACTCTTAGGATTGCAAATCTTCCTGATGGATCGTTAAATTTGCAGTTCAATTTCTTATGCTAAGGATCCTCATAAGAGGCAATAGCAAAGCATACTTTTGTTACTGCTTGAAATGTCAGCTTTCCATGATTGTTAAAACTAATATTAATATGCTGGATTGTATTGAGAAATAAGAAAGATTTAGAAATCATGATCTTTAAGGAACTCAAGAATTTATTTCAAATTTTCGATGCCATACAAAGGAGGAGAGTCCCTTTCATAGGAGAAGAGCTCCCTTAAAAAGTGTACAAGGACTCTGGTACAATTATTACACAAATGGACATACATCTTTTGAAAAAGTAAAATCTACCTTCAATAAAGTAAATAATACTTTGTCACTTTTCAGAAACTCATACAAAGTGACAAAGGTTTTAGATCTTGGTGATTTTCGTGCGACATGGAGTGCCCAGGTTTGCTGTCATAGCTGGTTCGTCTGAATCTTCAAACTCTGATGGTAGTCCTAGTATTTTCCACCATGGCATATTTTCATTTTTCTCTCTTTCCTTTTATTCTTCAATTTGTTGTTGGAGCTTTTCAAGGTTGTCAGGGTCAAAAGAGTAATCCCATGGATCCTAGGACTCCTGGAATTGAGATATCATAGATTCTGGCTGGCTTGCCGGTGCTTATTGGCTTGAACTTGTTCCTTCTTGTAGCACTTTTTCTTTTCTTTTTTTTCCTTGTAAGATGTGGGTTTTCTCGTCCTGTGTGAAGAGTGGTAGTAAGAACATTTTCGAAGTTTTTCTCTGAGTTGTTGTCCTTCGTGAGTATCTTCTGAGTATTTGGCTGTATGTCCCAGGCTCTGTGTTGGTCATCCCAAATACAATTGGTTCCAACAGTTGTCAAAATAATAATCTTCAAATGGAATGACTGGATTCCAGTTGTGAATTTGGCTCAAGCTCTCCATATGAGCTTGAATGTCGAATCCTTTGAGCATAGTTCATTGGAAGAGTTTTCAATTGAGCGTCATCTTCAATCTTGGGCCAAATTTCTAGAGGAATAGTCTGGTTAATTTCTGACATTTTCCNCAATTGAGCGTCATCTTCAATCTTGGGCCAAATTTCTAGATGAATAGTCAGGTTAATTTCTGACATTTTCCCTTGAAATGTTCTGAACTTTTGATGATATCTTTCCCATTCTTTGTGAAGATTGAACGACTGGACTGCATACTCCCGAACATAAGACAGATGTTCATAGTATCCTGATTCAGTAAAATAACTGTCTTTGAAACACTAGGATCACATGAACATTAACAGATGAAGTTCTAAAATATTTGTATTTTAAATAAAAATTTCGAAATTTATCTCTCCGGTGAGAGAGAATAAAACCGTTCAAAAAATCTTGTAACTTCATTACTGAAGTGAGAGAGTATTCTGGGGTAATCTTTCCAAAATTTGTGAAGTCCTTTCTGAAAGCCAAGAAACCCTGGCATCGGCATTAAAACAAATTGCAATCTGATATATCTGAAGAAGATACCACGGAAAACACAAAAGTTGTTTTGAAAAATTTTCCCCCTGTAATAATTTATTATATATGAACTCACGAAGAAGAACCACATTTTTTTTCCCCTGTAATAATTATGGCACTCAAATGTCTAATATGGTTTCCTCTCCACAAAAATATATCTTAAAATGCTAATACATGAAATATGACATCTTCCATTTTCTACAACTGAGAGCATATTACAATCTACACATCGTACATCCAAAATGATTGTACACGTATCTAACAGACACTGACGAATTACTTGTTATTATTTTGTTGTGAGTAATGTTATTGGTAGTAAAGACTACCGATAATCACACTACGTGACATACACGTGACTATTTGTGATTTAATGCATTTAATACACTAAATTACAAACCGTCACATATATGCCACGTGGTCTTCATCACGAATAGACTTGACTCTTTTGTGGACAATCAAAAG